AACGTGAAACTAACCCCAGCACTGGCACTAGCACACACTGGCACGAACTGGGTTCCTGAGAGACGACAGACTGAGTGAGGATCGAGGACTGTGGCTTCTCTACTTGGTACATACATCGATCAACAACAACAACAACAACAACAACAACAACGCGACAAGGAATTGTACAGGTAAAGGTGAAGGACGAGCACAACGAACAGAATAAGAAAAAAAAACACCAGGCAGTCGATCAGGTGTGAAGAATAAAGAATAAAAAGTCGTCTTCACTCTCTGTCAACGCCAACCACCCCCAGGACAAAAATACTCAGTCAGCATGAGCAAAGTCCAGCTCCACGACCACAGCGCCTCATACCACGCCATCACGACAAAGTCACCCCAAGGCCTGCAGTGCCTCAAGAGGCTGTTTCTCGAATATGACAATACCAATCCGAGCCGCGCCAACCTCAACAGTCTCTTCTCCAGAGACTTTACAGACAACGAGAACGAGTCGGAGCGGAATATCGGCCGAGACGAAGCCATCGAAACCATCATTTCCCACCGGGCCAGATGCTCGCGGCATCAGATCGACTTGAAACGCGCGACCTGTCTGGTCAATTCCGGGTCGAGCCACACAGTCTTCTTTGAAGGTGTGAGGTTTGTCATGTTCGCCTCTCCCGAAGGAAGTGAGGCAGAGCTGCCCGTCGTCGAGGACAAAAGTACTTGGACCAGGATCCCCTTTTCCGGCCGGATGGAGGTCAGAGTCAAGGAGAACAAGTTTTCTCTCAAGGAAGCCGTGGCAGAGATCGTGAGCAGAAGGGTCACGTCCGACAATAGTGCCCTGGTCAAGCGGGACTTGATGGCCAGGACGAACTCGATGCCCATTGCCAGCCCAGCCGAGTCACCACTGGCCAGACTCCAGTCGACAAGCACCAGCCAGCTTAATTTTCCCTCCAATGTGTCCGAGCTGCCTGCAGTGATTTCTACTATCCCGGGTGACACCAAGTCTCTTCCTCCATACCATTCTTCGATAAGGGAGACGCCGACTGTCACTTCCGGGAGCTCGGTTGATGGAGACCAGTTGGCAAGCCGTTGAAAAGGATGGGTTATCCGGTGTTGGCGAACCCGGAAACTTCGCGTGCCACCCGGCAAGGCGTCGAGGATCCCGGTCATGGGTAACGCGAGATAGTAATGAATGGAAGACGAAATTGCTTCTGGCCTTTTTGGTCTCCCTCATGATGATACAGTCTTTGGTAGCGGAGCTACCCTTCCCATCCCACCTCGCATAACTCGTTCGAAGCGGCTCTCAATTCTACTGAAGAATCCCCTGTAGTCTCGCCCAGGCGTTTCCGGGTTACGCCATCCGTCGCGGGTCCAAATACTCCAGCTCCCCATCTCGCGGGCCAGGAGGACGTCGGTGGCCAGGCGATCTCCCACAACTACGATCTCCTTGGGATCCTCTGTGACGCCATGGTCCTTGAAGTATTGTAGAATATCCGGTCCGCAGAACGGTTTCTTGCGCTCGGGATGCTGTCTCAGGACAGGAAGGCCCAGTTCCGTCTCCAGTTGCTTGGCCTCAGCTTCATGTTCCGGCGCAGAGGAGCTTCCCGCAGTGTTGGAAACGATCAAGATGCTGTGCGGGCTGTGGCTGAACTCGTCGCTCGCCTTGATCTTTTCGATCTTGTGTATATATGCCTGGTGCAGTTTCACCGTCTCCGGTGGACACAGGGTGTTGTCTTTGTCTATGACAAGCGCACGAATGGTAGGTTTCTTGCCGACGGCATTGAGAGAGGGAAGCCAAGGGCCAATGGGTAGTGGGAGTGGGAGCAGGGTCGGAATGGTCCTGTGCGGAAGCAAGCACGACGGCTCGTTCAGAGCGTAGGCTAGGGTCAGGCGAAGCGCGGGGACATTAGAAAAGAGTGGCATGTCAAAGTATGGCTCGATTCTTTCTTTCTTGGAGGGAGTCGAGGCCAACGCGAAGGAGGATGGAGACGCAGATGCGAAGTGATGAACAATGATGCGGAGTTAAGTCGGACTTAGTCATGCAGGTTCAAAATGTCAAATGTTGCTTTGATTTTCGTGGGCTGCGGTGCCTCCAAACCAAAGCGCCTCGACTTCAACCTCCAACCTTTGATCTCTTGCAGTCGCCTCGATTTTGTTGCTACTGCTCTGACCTGTGTCTCCTCATTGTCGCCCTCAATCGCCATTTTTGCGCCGAGCCTTTGCACCTGTGGTCGCCCACGATGGGCAAACTCACCTCCACCATCGGCATCCCGATCAAGCTGCTCAACGAGGCACAGGTGAGCACTTCACATTGGCCCATAACCGATACTGGACAATACTGACGATCTACGCGCCGTGCAGGGTCATGTGGTGACTTTGGAACTCACATCCGGTCAAGTATACCGAGGAAAGCTCCTCGAAGGTGCGCCTCGCTTTATTTTCCTTGCGATTGCCCGTTCAACCTACGACTTGTGCTGTGAGGCTAACATTTACAATCTGAACAGCCGAAGATAACATGAATGTCCAGCTAAAGGACATCACCGCCACGGCACGCGACGGCCGAGTGTCACATCTGGATCAAGTCTACATCCGAGGCAGCCACGTACGCTTCTTCATCGTCCCCGACATGCTGCGGAATGCGCCCATGTTCAGATCGAGAGGTACCAGAGGTCGCGGTGTGGGATTGGCAAGAGGAAGAGCTACAGTCAACCGGGCGCGGGCTGGAAGGAGGAATTAAATGCACATTGACCATTATGGGAACGGCGAAATTGGGAAATGGTTTCTTCAGGAAGTGCGCGCGAACTCTTTATTTAGAAGAGCAAAAGATCTGTCGCGCACGGAAGGGCACGGGCTCAGCGGCGACAAGGAAGCGAGAAAAGAAAATGGTGTGTGAGAAAACAGAACTCTGGAAGGTATGGCCGCACTCCAGGATATCTATGAACCATACTGGAATCGAGCCTAGCTCAAAAGTAGACTGTGACAGGTTGAACGACTCCTGATGCCTCAATATGAATGAAGATGCGCGGAAGGGTGTCACAATTGTTGCCCTTTCGCTTACGAATGCATTAGAAAACAACGACCTGCCAGCCCGCCAAGGCTGAGACACTCGGTATTATTATATTAAGAATTGAAAACCCCGATTCTCGAACCCGCGAAATATTTGTTTAGTAGTTTATTAGGTAGTCATAGAATTCGACCTGGTATCTGGATCATCAAGACCGGCTGTTGAGGGACCGAGAACCAGCTTCTTTTTGAGTAACTAACGAACCAACCAACCAACCAACCAGACACCGCTGGCGGAGGGGGAGGGCAGAAGAGGGACGATGATGCCATCAAAGTCACTGTCACAACCACCACCGCCACCATCACAACCTGCAAAGCCATCGGCCTTCCGCCTCCTGATTCTCTCGCCATCACCTCCGAACAACACGACAACGCCGCCGCTCCGCCCGTTTCTAGAGGCGATCACCGGCTCGCGGCCGTCGGACGACGTCGCCTCTTTTGCGGGGTATACCTCGCACCCGCCGCTGCGGTTGAGGACGAAATACTACGCCGCCGACGTGGGGATCTGGTGCGATGAACTGCCTTTGACTGTGACTTTGGAACATGGCAACGCAGATGGCGGGAAAAAGGCAGTGGCAACGGCAGAGGCACAGGGGAAGGTGTCCTCCGAGTCTGAGTCCGAGCCAGTGACCCTCTCGCACTGGAGAGAGCAGATGCTCTCGTCCGAGGCGGCCGAGGTCCGCGCCGTGATCGGTGGAATCATAGTCGTCCTCCCCGTGGCTACATCGCAATTACCAAATGCAGAGATTTCACGTTCGTACGTCTCGCTCATCGAGACTGTCCATGCACTGCGCGAGGCGATCGAGGGCGAGAGCTACACGCGGGACGTCGCTTCTGTCGTGGTCCTACAGGCTACGGCGCCGGCGGTGAGCAAGGCCAAGTTAGACGAGACGGTGGAGCGACTGGAAGAGCTCTGTTTGTCCGAAGAGGGCATATTGGGGTGGGACTTTGTCGCGTGGGATGGGCAGCTCGAGGGGGTGGCAAGCGAGGGGAAAGATGGGAAGAGTGCAATGGAGGCGGCGGAGGCGGAGGATGGAAACAGGGGTGCAGAGGACGAGAGAAATCAGTTCGGCGAGAAGACGGGGACTAAGCGCGTCATCGAGGTGCTCGAAGGGGTAGATTGGTCGGCATCGCCCGATCTGGACGGTGAGCATGACGGACGCGGAGACTATGAGTTGGCAGAACTTGATGATGATGACGAGGACGCTGGCGACCTCTTTTCTTCTACTTCAAAAGACATCCTCGGAAATAGCGCGGGTCTCCTAAGTTTTGATCAGGAGCTCCAGCGCGAGATGATGGAGTTGAAGATGTCGATGCTCGAAGACGATGGTGATGACAGTGATGAGGATAACCGGGAGGGATCCGGAAGGGGTCGAGAAGATGAAGACACCCAGGTCGAGCAGCTGCAGGTGCTGATGGAGAGAGTCGTCGCTATCCGCGAGGCTGGGTCTGAGATGCCCAAGCCTGAGAGAGAAAAGTTTGCTCGGAGAGAGATTGGGCGGATCATGAGGGAGATGGGATGAGATATGCCTGGCGTTTCCATCGAGGGCTGGTCCGGCGGGATCCATTATACCACGCTCTGTGTTTTCTATTCGACTTTGAATTGTGAAATCGTCGCATGCCCAGGCTGCTGACATGTACTTGTATCCAACTCTTTGACTAGGACGGGGTTCTTTTCAATCCGCATCATCTTTTTTCGTCAGATGTTGCCCAAAACACTCTCAAGTTTTTAGCCCGAGGATTTTGTGGCGGTCGGAGATCATGAACTAGGTCCTTAACCCTTTCCACGGCTGGTCAATCCCGACACATCAAGGTAGGGACGCAGTCTGATTCGAATTCCCCCATGGGTCATTCCTGGAACGCAGCCTCGTCCGTTATGCGATTCTGATGGGATAGTCCATTCGGTGTTACCATTCTGAATGGCTTTTCAACGGTGGGAGAGGCCAATGCCGTTCTCTTCATCCTTCTGGATCGTCAAAGGACAACTTGATTTTCTTTCCTTTCTTCTTAGCTGCGGGCTTTGCTGCAGACGGTCCGATTTTTCCTGCAGCGGGATTCTCGTCTTTCTCCTTGGGAGGGTCTTTGTGTTTCTTCGCGTTCTCCGTTCTGTGGTCATCGCTAATTTCCCTCTCCTCCTCGCCTCCAACAACCTTGCCAACCTTCCTCTTCTTCGCATTCGCCGCAGAGCCAATCTCCGTCACTTTCTGTCTTTCATGGTTCTCGCCATCCTGGTGTTCAGCCAGTTGAGCCCCTGTAGCACCAGCATCTTCCGCCTCGGAAGGGTTTGGAGTTCCGTCTTCTCCCTTCATCATCCGCTCGAACTCAGCCTTTTCGACCCGCTCACCTCGCTCATCCAAAATCACTGGTTCGTCCTCATCGTCGTCGCCGGTCTTTAACCTGTCCCTCTTTGGTCGAGGGATCTGGACGTTGTTTCGTCCATCGAGCCCTCCAACTTCACCTTTCAATCTACGGAGAAAGGAAGGCTCTTGCTTGTTGTACTGTAGGTTTTTGGCGTTGAATGCCATTGCTTCGTCCCAGATCAAGCAGGTCGTGTCAAGCGCTAGTGTTTGCCGAGCGGGTTGTGTACACAGTATGGTATTAGACGTAAAGAGAAAAGCACCAAAGTATCTACCAAGTTGGGAGTCAGGGGGCTGTCACGTGGCGATAAGAACTCTTATCTCTCCACAATGTGGCGCCGCCATTTGCGCATCGCGTGTTCGTCTCCTGAGTCTACAACGTCAAGACTCCTATTCTGGACTACCCACCTCAACTCCTTCTCACCATGTCTCGCCGTGACGGAACGTAGTCGCATAGATGCTGTGGCCTCCTACACCCGCGCAATGTGCGCGAGGCTACATCAGAACGTCGCAAAAATTCCGGTTGCGGCCACAATTTGCATCGCGAGCGGCTGCCATCCTGCGCCGACACTATGCCTCCGACATTGACCGCTCCCGCAATGATTCGCCGGCCGATCGAACGTCCCTCGCCCGAGGCGCGAATCCTAGGTATAATGAGATAGGCATACAACAACTGAGCGACTACCTCCACCCCCAAGTTTTTCCTTCTGGGGCCACTCGACCACGCCCCGAGCTGGTTGAATTGTCCAAGGACCACCTCCGACGGCATGACCTGTTGGGGAAAAATCAGGACAATACCCCGCCCATCGGATTGGATGCACCACCGGTCATTGGAAGTTGTTTGGACGAGCACTTTACCAAACTGGGCCTCGACGCAGCCGAGCCGTACCTGTCGTATGGCAAGGCATTTGTGCGAGCAAACACCCCTCAAAGACCACGGAAATGGGTGATTCGAAGCGGGTGGACAAAGTATAACCCGGATATGACGACGGAAGAGGTGGATGCGCCAGACGACGAGATGCTGTCATTCGATGTGGAAACCATGTGGAAAGAATCGCCCTTTGCAGTCATGGCCACCGCTGCCAGTCCTACGGCGTGGTATGCTTGGATATCGCCCTGGCTGCTGGGGGAAACGACAAATCCGAGGCAATTGATACCTTTGGGCGACCCAAGCAAACCGCGGATCGTGGTTGGACACAACATTGGGTATGACCGGGCGAGAGTCAAGGAGGAGTACGACCTGCAGCAGTCGCGGAATTTCTTCATCGACACCATGTCGCTACATGTGGCTGTCAATGGCATGTGCTCTAGGCAGCGGCCAACCTGGATGAAGCACAAGAAGAACAGGGATTTGCGGGACAAAATGTCAAGTGAGCACAACTCGGTAGAGCTGCAGAGGATGCTTGAGAGTAAGATGCTGAGCGAGGAAGAGGAGGAACTTTGGGTTGGCCGGAGCTCAATCAACTCATTACGGGATGTGGCCAAGTTCCATACAGGCATCACGATCGACAAGAGTCAACGAGACTACTTTGGTGAACTGGACCGAGAAGGCATCGTTCAGCGAATTGAAGAGTTGCTCGACTACTGCGCCGCCGATGTGGCGATCACGCACAAAGTCTTCCAGAAAGTCTTTCCCAATTTCCTCGAGACCTGTCCACATCCTGTCAGCTTTGCCGCACTACGGCATTTGTCGTCCGTCATCCTGCCTGTCGATAAGTCTTGGGATGAGTACATCGCCCGAGCAGAGACGACGTATCTCCAAAGACTGAAAGATGTCGAGCAGCGGCTTTTGCAACTGTCAGAGGCGGCTTTGGAGGTCAAGGAAAAGCCCGAAGTCTACGAAAACGATCCGTGGCTCAACCAGCTTGACTGGTCAGGTCAAGAGATCAAATATAAGAAGGCTAAGAAGAAGGGCGAGGTACCTGTTCCCGTGGCTCGACAAAAGAAACCTGGCGCACCCAACTGGTATCGAGATCTATTCACCTCCAACGCGTCTCCGATAAACTTGACGGTGCGCACGAGAATTGCTCCGCTGTTGTTGAAGTTGTCTTGGGATGGCTATCCTCTGGTATGGTCTGATCAACACGGTTGGACCTTTCGCGTGCCGAATAAGGACACTGGGAAATACGAGCACAGCAATGTGGTCAGCTGCGACATGTCAGAAGAGACGAATCCCAAGCTGAAATCGGACTTCCAACATACATACTTCAAACTTCCCCACAAAGATGGCCCAACAGCGCGTTGTGCGTCGCCACTCGCCAAGGGCTACTTGCAATACTTTGAACAGGGTACTTTGTCGTCGAAATTCACTCTGGCTAAAGAAGCTTTGGAGATGAACGCGTCCTGCTCGTACTGGATTTCGGCCCGAGATAGGATCACTTCTCAGCTGGTCGTCCGAGAAGCCGATCGTGACCCTAGTCTGGCCGGCAAGTCTGATCAAGGCTTTATTCTTCCTCAGATCATCCCCATGGGTACCATCACTCGACGAGCAGTGGAGAATACGTGGCTCACTGCCTCCAACGCCAAATCGAACAGGGTAGGATCAGAACTCAAGGCCATGATCAAGGCACCACCAGGGTACTGCTTTGTTGGCGCAGACGTTGATAGTCAGGAACTCTGGATTGCCTCAGTTGTGGGCGATGCCCAATTTCAGCTGCACGGCGGAAATGCAATTGGCTTCATGACTTTAGAAGGGACCAAAGCCGCTGGGACTGACCTACATTCCAAGACTGCAAAGATTCTGGGAATTTCCCGCAACGACGCCAAAGTCTTCAACTATGGTCGTATCTATGGTGCTGGCCTGAAATTCGCCGCGACTCTCCTTCGGCAATTCAACCCCTCTCTATCGGAACAGCAAACAAATGAGATCGCGACGAAACTCTACAAAGAAACGAAAGGCACTCGTACAAGGCGCAAGATATTTGGCAATGGCAGTTTCTGGCGAGGAGGTACCGAATCCTTTGTCTTCAACAAACTCGAAGAATTTGCCGAGCAAGAACGACCTCGTACGCCGGTGCTGGGAGCGGGGATTACCGAAGCTCTCATGCGAAGATTCATCAACCAAGGCTCTTTCATGACTTCTCGGATCAACTGGGCCATTCAGTCCTCGGGCGTCGACTACCTCCACCTTCTGATAGTCAGCATGGACTACTTGATTCGGCGATTCAACTTGGATGCTCGCCTCGCAATCACCGTGCATGACGAGATCAGGTACCTGGTCAAACACGAGGACAGATACAGAGCGGCAATGGCGTTGCAGATCAGCAACCTGTGGACCAGAGCCATGTTCTCGCAGCAAATCGGTATCCAGGATCTTCCGCAGTCTTGTGCATTCTTCTCAGCAGTAGACATTGATCATGTCCTCCGCAAGGAAGTCGATATGGACTGCGTGACGCCCAGCCACCCGGAAAAGATCCCTCACGGCGAGAGTCTAGACATCAACCAGTTGCTCGAAAAGGGGTCCGAGGCGTTTTTGGACCCAGGCGTTGTGCCAAAGGACGGGCCGATTGATCTGAATGGATATGCATACACTCCAAGACAAAGTGTCATGTCGAGTCTGAACAGTTCGGGTGATGTCGCTTACATAAAGGCGCAGATTACAAGCGACGACAAAGAGCTGAAGGCCATTATCCGCGAAGCTGAAAACGACGCCTCCCCTCAATTGACCGAAGGAACTTCTACAACGACGACGGCCAAGGGCTCTACCAGATCTGGCACTGGCAGTACAGGTTCGCCGCGAGGAAGACGGCCCAAGCCGAAAGTCCCTATTCCGCCTCACGCGCAGCCGCAACGCGCCATGCTCATGGAGGTCGAGGATCGGTGGGACATGGGGTACAAGAAGGCCTTTGGCAACGCTGGCCACGGCCACGCTGGCCACGCTGGTGGTGTTGGGGGCCACAAGCCGTGGTTGACGGAGAAGAAGACGCCAGCGTGGTCGAGTCAGTGGGCGAATGATGGATGGGAAGTATGAGATTGAAAACCCCACCCACCATTTTCTCGCAACGGGTGGGACTCACCCATTGCTCCAATCATTGTACGAATAACGCGTCGACCATGTTTGTACCATTCATATTCCAGTCTATGTATATTTGGTCACATGTTGGATTAGTCACCCATGTTTGTACATACATACATATATACATATATACACATACTACCTATCTTTCTATATGTCTACCCATGTACAAGTGTACTACCACTTGTATACCTACGATGTACTTACGATGTACATATATCTGACACAATGTTACTTTGTATATATACGTGAGTCCATGTATGTGTGTGTGTGTGTGTGTGTACGTCGCGCGATAGTCATGTCAAAGCAGGTAGCGAGGTCGGAGGCAGGCAGGTAGGCAGTTAGGCAAAAGTGCTTCAATTTGTGTCATTTTCTCATGGATGAATTATATAGATAGATACGAACATGAGGGATTTATCATGATATGATCCCCCAAGTCCTTGAAGAGTGGGAAACCCCGTTCTAGACCCCCCTGTCGAGCGTGACATTCGACAGTTTTACCCCATGCCATTCCGTCTCGTGCGGTCTACTCTTGTCCTTTCTTTCTCTTCCTCGCGTTCGCCACCATCTTTCTTCCTTCTCTTTTCTCCCTCGGTTCTCCCCCGTTGTCATCTCATCGAGGTGTCTTGTGTCCATGAGATCAAGCATAAGCTGCCCACCCACAATACAGCACAGCCAGATTCCTCTCGTCTGTGGCCTGTCTGATCAACTCGTTCACTGTGGCTTCCACGCTGAGGGCCTTGCCCAGTTTCTTCGCCACCACGGTCAAAGCGCGATCCGCTTCCGAAGGCTCGGTCTCTTCTCTGCGGGCGGCGATCACCCCGGCTGCGTTGTCGGCCGCGCTGACAAAGGTAGAGCCGGCTCCGCTGGTCGTTGAGGGAGTGGACGGTCCACCGGCGATACTGGCCGCATCGGCTGCGGCCTGTTCGTTGTTTTCCTGCATCTTCTGCAGACGGAGCGGAGAGATGGACCACGAATACAAAGGGTCATAGCGCAGCACGTCCAGGATGGTCATGATTGCTTCTTGGTCGTGGCGGAGGGCTTCGAGGGTGAAGTTACAGCACCGCCGAAATACTCCTTCCACCCCCGTTAGGCCCAATCCGTCGACCAGGTCACGAGTAAGTCGGAAAGGCACAACCTCGGGCACAGGCAGGACGCGGCCGGCTTCAAAAGCGACGCCCAAGTCGATGTGGACCACTTCTCCGGTCTTCTCATCAAGAAGGATGTTGTGTCCGTGTCTGTCGCCGAGTCCGAGGACATGACCCAAAATGCTCACCGCGGCCGTGGATCGACTGTAGTTGAGCCGCTTGTAAAACCAAGCATCTGGGTCAAGGAACTTCTCCATGAAGAAAAATCGCATGACAGGGTGGAAATTCGCGGCAACAGTCTGGTAAGCTCGCACACGCTGCTCATGGTTCTTGGCCTGCGCGTCAAAAATATCCTTTCTAGCACGGCTCGCCTTGTAGTCCTTGGGATAATACCGCGCATGAGCAGGCAGCAGATACTCATTCAGGGGGATAGTATTTTGGACAAATTCAATAACGCCCGAGTTCTTGGTAAGGGGGATAACCTTGTAGGTTCGAATACCAAGGTTGCGACGACGTGTGGCACGGTGATCTTTTAACAGGTTGGAGACTTGTTCAAAGACTTGCTCCATGATGGCGTCTTGCCGAAGGTCGTCATTGCCTCCTTTCAGAAGCAGTTTGTGGCGAGACCCATCCGAGGCGGTGATTGTCGCAATCTTAGGAGCCGATACGCCGCCGGCCACAGAGATGGTGGGATCGATCATGGTCGAAGTCGGGACCTTTGAATAGTTTCGATCTGCTCGGAGAGGAATGTTCATGGTCGGTGGGGGGATCTTTGTCGTGGGTTTCGTGATCTGAGCTTCTAGTGCTGGTCCATTTTGTAATTTGCGCAGTGGGAGTTTCGAGCCACTCTTGAGGTCTTTGTCAGAGAGTCCCTCCACAGCCACCCGATTCAGAGCCACGCAAGTATTGTGCACAGTAGTCCATATCGCCGAGGACGTGCTTTGCTGCTTGACGCGCTCCGTCAATAGGTTTGCTGCAGCGAACCTGGAAGCAGCTACTTCATCCCCAGGTGGAGCTTTAGACTTGCTGGTTGCAAATACCTGATATAGGCTGTGATACGGGTGATCAGAACAGATACGAAACATGAGATCCTTCAGGAGGGTCTGAAAGTCGTCCTGGATATCCAACAGACGAGACGACAGCTGATTGACCAGTGGAGCGAACTTGAGAGTTGGGACCGACTCAAGGCACTTGCGCACAGCGGCGTTTGCCGTTGGACTCTCGGCTTGATTGAGCCACAGAGCAATAAAGCGGAGGGTATCACTTGGGTAGTCGTCAGATGCCCTCATCGACAGCAGGTAATTCTCCAGGCACCGCAGGATGAGATTCTCTCGGTTCTGTGAAACCCTTCTCCATTCTTCCTCGTCGAGTTTGTACCAGGTTTTGGCTCGGGCCAGATGTGTCTTTAATTTGGCTCGCTGTTGCTCGTTTTTGGCTTTTCTCACCATCCTGTCCAGCTCACGGACTTCGTGCATCTTGCGATCTCTGATCTTGCTGATACGCGTAAAGTCGTCCAGGTTATCCGTATCCTGAAGTTGCATGTCGCAGAATGCAGCAAAGTTATGAAACACGCGGCCAGCTGCGGCCCCAGTACGAGGCCCCTGGAGCTCTCGGATTGCTGGTGCGAGGTACCGTTCTATAATCTCATCCGGTTTCTCCAGACGAGCTTCGGCAATTTTGTGTCCCAGATCTGTAAGGATGTCAGCTCGTGACACCGTGATAGCCTGTGTGGAAGCATCTTTGCGATCTCCCAGGCCTTGCAGGATGCCAATCGAGGCGGAAACTTCTTCCTGTGCCCACAACGTCTTAGCCAGGTCGTAATGGATGGCGATGTCCACCTTTAGTCCTATACTTTCAGCCAGCTGAGTAAGCTGCGAGAGGTACAGTGCTCGATTCAAGCTGAACTGTGGCGCCTCGTAACTGGACGCCACGTCCAAGGACTGCCGTGTCATTTGGACTTCCAGGAGCAGCGCTTGCCGCATGTTCAACGAAAATGCTGCCCGCAAATGATTGTTTCGACGGATCGCCGCGAAAGCTGCTTCCCTGCCGGCCAATATTGGTGACAACGCATTGAATCTGCCACTGTCAGTCACCATGAACGTAGAGTGTAACGTGACTTACTCTGCAAGTTTGATCCTTTGGTCCCTCGCCACTATCGCCGCACAGATCGACTCTAGGGCTTCTGCCGTTGTTGCTCCCAAAATCTGCCTCGCCTCTGCCAGGACTGCCAATCTCGGATGGACATCACCGTGATGACCTCTCTTGACAGGGTTCGTTCGGAAAGTATCCCCATGCTGTAGCAACAACAAGTCCAGCTCCCGGGATAGATTGCTCTTGTTTGATATGCTGTGCATGTTGCGAAACAGTGACGACAAGGCCGTCGACATCGAAGACGACTCACTCGTCCCGAATAAGTCCCAATGATCCAAGGCCAAGCTGTTCTCAACTGAAATGTTTTTGTGAGGCCCTTCATAGTGTTGCTTTACCGCCTCTGATATACCCTGCATATTTGCAGCGCTCAGGGTCAATGCTGTCGTGAAGGCAACACCACCGAGTGTTTCTTCTGCCTCCTCCATCCTCAATTGAGAATCCAGCATCGCGCTCTGGAAGGACAGAGATTTCTGGCTTGCTCCTTCATGGCTCATTTTGCCGATGATCGACTTCAGATCGTAGCTCTGGTGCTTGCCGTAAAAGAAATCAGGATCATCGACATTTTCATAGATCTTGGAGATGACTTCCGTCGAGACCTCGTTAATCATCGCAAACGACCTTCGGGAAGACCGGCCTGTCTGAAGTTGGGCTTGGGAATAGTGCAGCTCTAAGAAGAGCAGAGCCTCATGCCACATTTGACAGTCACTTGCAGCCAACGCGGCCTTGCTGAAGTCTACCTCCAGCCAGGAGTTTCGTTGCGCCATATTGGTCTCATTTGGGAGGCGGCACTTTCGAAGATATAGGAGTGTTTTCAGCACTAGTTTCCTGGCCTCACTAAGAGGCTGACCCTCGGATGAGAGGACTGCGGAGAAGGCCTCAGATAGTCTTTCACGGAAAACTTGGTGAGAGTCGGTTTCGGTTAGTAATATGAGATGGACGCTATATGGTAGCAGGATACCGGCTGCATCGGGGACTGTGTTGATCAGAGGCTGCAAAAAGCCCAGGAGAGGATTACCAACAGCAGCTTCCGAGATCTGGATGAGGAGCTCTGTTGCCCAGTCGCGCGATGGCCCGTGAGAATCTTGACGTGTTCCTTCCTGTTTGCTCACGAGGCCGAGACTCGTGGATAGTGGCGCAGCAGGACATGGGAAATTCTTGAACCTCAACTCATGCACAATGCTCCGGTCAAAATCGGCGGCTAAAAAGGTGTGCTCGTCGCCTTCGTGCAGGCTACTCGAGATGAGCTGTAAAGTACTTTCGGCCAAAGTTGACCCTGGGTAATCAGACTTCCAGACTAGATCCACGAGGTAGCGTACGATGTTTGTGTAGGACGAGACTGCCTCGAGTCCTATGTCCGGCGACTGTGTTCCCATCGATTGTGTTTTGTCGTGCGTATTCGGAGTAAGCCCACTCATGAGATAGCCCCGTCCAATGCCCTGGGCGGCCCAGATGCGAAAAGATTCGTCTAAATCGAATTTCTTCAACAGTCTTTCCAGGATAGCTGAGAATCGAGCAGCATCGAGGTCATTAGCAAGGATGTCGTCTTGAGAATCCGCCGGTGCGCAGAACTGTCGGCACAGAATTTTGATAGAGAGGTCGAAGTGAAAGTCTGACAGAAGAGGATTCGTACTGCTTTGGTCTGAAAGCAAAGCGTAAAGCAACTGCCCTTCACTTGTGTTTTGCGCACTGCTTCCTCCTTGGGCTATACCTTTCGCA